GAGATCTGTGCTTGCTCTGTGTATCATCTAGAAACATGTATTATAGTTCCTGTCAATAATTTTTCACACTTCCAAAATCTGACAAGTTTGGCAATAGAAAGAAAAAGATGGCAATAGAAAGAAATGTAGATGAAAGAATTTCTCTCATTTTGAAAACTGCTTTATAAAAATTGCAGTATCCCCTCTAGGATCTCACGAGGGATCCTTCACAGTCTAAAGCAAGTGAAGTTTGATAACAGCACAGTTCTATTCTAATTTTTGCTCTTAGTTTCAATATCCTAACTTTTTCTGGCTTACTTATTATTTTTGGAAAATATGTGATGCTTTTGTAAGGAAAAGAAATTTTCTAATGCTTTTCTTTACCTTCATTGATCTGTGTTTGTTTCACATATCTTGAAGAATTAAGTGTTGATCATTCAGGAAGCCTTGTGGCACACTGCAATTTGAGGTGATGGAGGAACATTTTTTTGCAACTTGGAAGAAGGAAACATTTTTTAAATTGGCTTATACCAGTCTCCTGACTCTGTAATTCTCAGTTTTCTAGAGTTACGGGATAAATATCAATAAAATCTCATCTTACCAGATTGCACCAGCATTGTCCTACATGTTGGAATTTTTCTCTATTTTTGGCTTTTAAAATCACAAACTTTTCTTGGCCTGCCGTACTTCTCTTTTTAGTTTATATGCCCCTTACCACACTACCGGTATCATCTTTTTCACTGCAGTCTGTTCAGTGCTATGGTCGCTTTCAGTGGAGAAGGCTGGAAGGTTAGGATCCGGAGGAAACATAACAAAAAAAGGGAGAAAAAAGCCCTTCATTTGGCCAAATCTGGCTCCTAATATATTTAACCACTTCCAGAATTAGAAAGCCTTTCTGTACATTTTATTCTATTTTTCTCTGTCTTTTTTTTTTTTCCTTACGTAATGAAATTAAAACTTTTGGAGCCCACAGTTGACATTTTTCAGAAAATTGAGTTATCAAGGCAGTAATTATTTCACGGGGAGATAAAACTCTCATAGCCCTAACTGTCAAATAGGGCCCTTTTCAGATTTTAATTACAAAATAAAATTAGTCTGCTCTTCCTCGGAATGGTTTGTGAGTGGTTAAACAGAGCTTTCCCCCCAATACTGGTGGTCGTCAAACTCTGCTAATTAGCAATGCTGAGAAATTCCAGTTAACAAGGACATTCTCCAAGACTCTGCAGGTTCCCTGCCGTTTGCCTTCATTTCCATAAGAAGATTAAGAGAGGAGGGAACACACTCAAATGCAGATGCAGAAAAGAAGCGTTTTTTAACAAGCATCATAATAGTAAGATGCTTGGCTAGTTCTCACCTAATTACTGCAAGTTAAACCTCTATTTGCCACTAAGAAGAAAAAATAAGTCTACAGTCCCCTATCTCCACAAAATTGTTAGTTGGCTTCAGATATAATACTTGAGGAGGGATAAGGGGAGTTTAGGAGAGAAATATCAGTGCAAAAGATAAAACTGAGCTACACTTAATCAGTTAAGGGTTTGGGGCTGGGGCCTATAGTAAAACAAAATTAAATCAGAATATCCTATGAGTTATGCATTTTGTTCTTAATTTCTAATCTTGCTCTAAAAGTATACAGCTTTTTGCTGCCCATGAAAGGGAAATGTTATACTTCCTTTAGATTAAGCACTTTAAATTTTCATAAATTGTGCCAATGGCAACATTTTTAAATTCTTGAGGGATGAAGCACCCTCTTCCAAGTCTTATTTTGATACCCTAGTAGTCAATGGTGTAATTGTTATTAGTACTGTAGCCATCTGTTATAAACCTAAAACAGTGCTGCTTCTATCATCTATTGTGATTATTATAGTTATTATTATATTTAGGGGCCAGTGATGATGCTAGATTGAAATAGAGTGGCCGGTGATCTGATTTTTTTTTTTAATGCATATGTTCTAAAAAATCTAATGAGAAAATTGTTTCTGCTATCACCATCTTCTTTAATCTTATTTTCATAGCACATTATTATGCATAAATGCCAGCCACAGTTAGTTTATTGCCTTGATAAGTACAGCAGGCTTAATTAAAATAAAGCTGTAAATAAATGCAACCAATGATAACACAATTGTAATGTATTTCCATAGCTTATTTATATGATAAAAGCAATTAACAAAAGACCTAGTCAGCCCCTTTAACCTCTTAAATGCATTATTATAGAGTTCAGGCACAAACACATGCATCTGAGAATGTATAAAAGCTTTTATATATTATCCCAAGGAAATATTTGTGCCTCCTACTACTACCCCTTGAGAGAGAAGATTACAAACATTTGCTTCTGTAACTATCCATTATTAATATTTATTTTAATACACATACACCATTATCCACATCAATCCCTTGTTTGTTTGTTTGTTTGTTTGTGTGTTTGTTTTTCTTTTCCTTCAAACTTAATTATCCATAAGCTTTTTTAAAGTTTTCAGAATAATGCTACTAAGTGCAGACCAATGCATACGCAATCATAAAGTGAATGCTTGGTCTGCCCTTCGTGGCATCTGGACAATCATAATTCATTCATATGTTGAATCTCATAATTTGTACCTATTTTTTCCCAAGGTTTAACCTCCTACTTATCTGGAGGTTATATTATGTACATTTCTAAGTTAAGCAAATTAAATCTGATTCTTATGATTTAGTTCCATAGCTTATATGATATGTTAACTTTTCTTTTGTTTAGATTACGTGTAATTAGTGGATCTTCCTCCCAGTCCCCTCATTTAAAAAAAAAAAAATATTTCCAAACACCTTTTTTTAAAGGTAAAAGCAAAACTGTAGTCTTGGAAAAGCGAATTCACCAGTAGGGGGCGCACCAGCTACATCCCTAAAACCAGACGCGCTGAAAAGCCTGGTGGCTGCGGTGTTGTCTTCCGAGCCTCTAACCTTTTCTCTTCCTAATCTCCATGTCCCTGTTTAGCTTAATATTACACCTCGAATAAACAGAAGACATTATTTTGTTTTAAAGAGTGCCATATATTTATCCGTTTCGAGAAAGCCAGTCTCACCCTTCCCAGGTTCCCAAGAACTAAAACAAACCATAACTTGAGAGAAAAAGAAGACACTGTTGGGGGAGGGGAGGTTGATTGGAAATAATAATTTATAAAGAAAAGTCTACAGGATTCTTTTCTCAACTTTTCTGGCTTTCCAGTGAGCGTGCCTATTTTGAGTTTGACGGGAACAGAAAAGCCCCGGAGGGCAGGGATTGGAGAAGTTGGAGTGGGGGTAGTGATGGTTATGGGAAGAAGGTTAGTAAGGAACAAAACAATGCAAAGTTTTGTAAAGATAATAAATGGAACGTGGCCGACAGATACTATTCAGAACATTTTCTTAGGGTGAGTAAGGGTATATAGATCAGGGAAGGAGGGGGGCGGAGAGAGTGTTACAGAAGAAAGAAAATAAGTAACCCTCATGGTTTAAGCCCTTTATAAAAAAGAAATGGCATCAGGTTGTTTTTTTTTTTTTTTCCCCCCCCCCCCCCCCCCCCCCCCGCTTTGTAGTCAAGTGCATTTTAGCCACAAAGATCCCAACAAGAGAGTGGAAGGAAACTTAGACGGGGCTTTGTTTGACTCCGTGTAGCGACAACAAGAGAAACAAAACTACCTATTTGTAACGGACGTGCTGCCATTGCTCTCCGCATTGAGCGCCTACCTATTGAAATCTTTACGTCGGGACAATGGGAGAGCGGCTAAAATTACCCTCTTGGGTCCTAGGCGGGCGGGATTCCTGAGCCCCTACCCCCCGCCTCCATCGCATCCTCCAGCCCCGGCCTCGCTGGGCTCCCTCCGTCCCCAGTCCTGGCGGCCTTCTTCCTGCCTGCACTGCCTGCACCTGTGCCTGGAGAGCACCACACCGGCCTCCCAGGCCTGGAGTCCCCTCCAAGCGCTGTCCCAGACCCGGCGGCCCAGGCAGAGCGGCCACCACAGTAGAAGTCACAAGGGGGAATGGCAGAGCTGGTGCTGCCCGAGTCCTGGGAACTCTGCGTGGGAGGGAGTTTGTGAGTGCGGCCCAAATGCCGCCTCCATACTCTGCCGAGGGATGCCAGGAAGTTGACACGACGCTGCTCTAGGCGCTTCTGAAGGTCCTTCTGTTGATCTCCTTCTTCCCCTAACCTCCTTTTGAAACTCGCCCAACTGAAATCCTGCTTTGGGGGAGGCTCAAGAGGAGAACGGGGAGAGAGGAGGAGAGTGGGGGCATCCCCTTTCTGTCGACTGAACGGAGAAAGATGGTGGGAGATGAGGCTGGGGGTAAGGGGAGAAGCCGCAGTGTCGGGGCCAGAGCCGAGCTGGTCAGGGGACAGCAGGCATGCCGCAGCTTCCCCAGGCCCGGCCTCCCCTCAAGTGCGGAGTCGGCCACAGAGTCCCAGCAGGATTTATGCTTAAAACAGAGCAAAGTGCGTGGCAGCTAGGAGGGTTTGGAGCACTGAGCTTTCCGTCTCATAACTTCTTGTCGGGACAGTGTAAGAAAGGGGCGAACTAGTGCCGGCACCTGTAGAGGAACAGGGGCGAGGGGAAGAGCGAGGTTAGGCAGAAGCACCGAGGAGGCTGGAGCGGGGGAGGGGGGGGGGGCGGCGGTGGCGGGGGGGAGCATGCGGAGGAGCGGGACAACAATGACACACCAACTCCTGCACCGCCTGTTTCCTGAAATACTAGTAGGACAGTCGTCCTGAACCACCCACTCTGCCGTGCCCCACCCCCACACCTTAGCGGCTTCTCGCGCCCCTTCCTCGTTTCAGCAGCCCGCAGCAAAAAGTAAATCAATATTAAGTTTGAAGAAGAAAAAAAATCGCAGTCTTGGTGCTGTTTACCCACTTCCTTCGAAAAGGCGTGTGGTGTGACCTGTTGCTGCGAGAGGGGATACAAAGGTTTCTCAGTGGCTGGCAGGCTGGCTGTGGGAGCCGCCTCCCCCTCCCTCCTTCCCCCTCCTCCCCTCGCCTCCCCCGCGCGGCCTGCGGCGCGGCAGGCCCCGCCCCCTTTCATGCAAAACCCGGCTGCGAGGCTGGGCTCGAGTGGAGGAGCCGCCGCGCGCTGATTGGTCGCTGGAAACCCATTTATTCCCTGACAGCCCCCGTCACATGGATGGTTGTCTATTAACTTGTTCAAAAAAGTATCAGGAGTTGTCAAGGCAGAGAAGAGAGTGTTTGCAAAAGGGGGAAAGTAGTTTGCTGCCTCTTTAAGACTAGGACTGAGAGAAAGAAGAGGAGAGAGAAAGAAAGGGAGAGAAGTTTGAGCCCCAGGCTTAAGCCTTTCCAAAAAATAATAATAACAATCATCGGCGGCGGCAGGATCGGCCAGAAGAGGAGGGAAGCGCTTTTTTTGATCCTGATTCCAGTTTGCTTCTCTCTCTCTTTTCTTCCCCCAAATTATTCTTCGCCTGATTTTTCTCGCGGAGCCCTGCGCTCCCGACACCCCCGCCCGCCTCCCCTCCTCCTCTCCCCCCGCCCGCGGGCCCCCCAAAGTCCCGGCCGGGCCGAGGGTCGGCGGCCGCCGGCGGGCCGGGCCCGCGCACAGCGCCCGCATGTACAACATGATGGAGACGGAGCTGAAGCCGCCGGGCCCGCAGCAAACTTCGGGGGGCGGCGGCGGCGGCGGCGGCGGCAACTCCACCGCGGCGGCGGCGGGCGGCAACCAGAAGAACAGCCCGGACCGCGTCAAGCGGCCCATGAACGCCTTCATGGTGTGGTCCCGCGGGCAGCGGCGCAAGATGGCCCAGGAGAACCCCAAGATGCACAACTCGGAGATCAGCAAGCGCCTGGGCGCCGAGTGGAAACTTTTGTCGGAGACGGAGAAGCGGCCGTTCATCGACGAGGCCAAGCGGCTGCGAGCGCTGCACATGAAGGAGCACCCGGATTATAAATACCGGCCCCGGCGGAAAACCAAGACGCTCATGAAGAAGGATAAGTACACACTGCCCGGCGGGCTGCTGGCTCCGGGCGGCAACAGCATGGCGAGCGGGGTCGGGGTGGGCGCCGGCCTGGGCGCGGGCGTGAACCAGCGCATGGACAGCTACGCGCACATGAACGGCTGGAGCAACGGCAGCTACAGCATGATGCAGGACCAGCTGGGCTACCCGCAGCACCCGGGCCTCAACGCGCACGGCGCCGCGCAGATGCAGCCCATGCACCGCTACGACGTGAGCGCCCTGCAGTACAACTCCATGACCAGCTCGCAGACCTACATGAACGGCTCGCCCACCTACAGCATGTCCTACTCGCAGCAGGGCACTCCTGGCATGGCGCTTGGCTCCATGGGCTCGGTGGTCAAGTCCGAGGCCAGCTCCAGCCCCCCCGTGGTTACCTCTTCCTCCCACTCCAGGGCGCCCTGCCAGGCCGGGGACCTCCGGGACATGATCAGCATGTACCTCCCCGGCGCCGAGGTGCCGGAACCCGCCGCCCCCAGCAGACTTCACATGTCCCAGCACTACCAGAGCGGCCCGGTGCCCGGCACGGCCATTAACGGCACACTGCCCCTCTCGCACATGTGAGGGCTGGACAGTGAACTAGAGGGGGGGAGGAATTTTCAAAGAAGAACGAGGGAAATGGGAGGAGAGTAAGAAACAGCATGGAGAAAAAAAAAAACCCGGTACGCTCAAAAAAAAAAAAAAAAAAAGTCATCACCCGCAGCAAATGACAGCTGCAAAAGAGAACACCAATCCCATCCACACTCACGCAAAAACCGCGATGCCGACGAGAAAACTTTTATGAGAGATCCTGGACTTCTTTTTGGGGGACTATTTTTGTACAGAGGAAACCAGGGGGGTGGGGTGGGGAGGGCGAGGGAATGGACCTTGTATAGATCTGGAGGAAAGAAAACTACGCAAAACTTTTTAAAAGTTCTAGTGATACGGTAGGAGCTTTGCAGAAAGTTTGCAAAAGTCTTTACCAATAATATTTAGAGCTAGTCTCCAAGCGACGAAAAAAATGTTTTAATATTTGCAAGCAACTTTTGTACAGTATTTATCGAGATAAACATGGCAATCAAAATGTCCATTGTTTATAAGCTGAGAATTTGCCAATATTTTTCGAGGAGAGGCTTCTTGCTGAATTTTGATTCTGCAGCTGAAATTTAGGACAGTTGCAAACGTGGAAAGAAGAAAATTATTCAGATTTGGACATTTTAATTGTTTAAAATTGTACAAAAGGAAAACATTAGAATAAGTACTGGCAAAACCATCTCCGTGGTCTTTAAAGGGGCAAAAGTTTTAGATTGTACTAAATTTTTTTTAACTTACTGTTAAAAGCAAAAATGGCCATACAGGTTGACATCGTTGGTAATTTATAATAGCTTTTGTTTCCCAACTTTCCATTTTGTTCAGATAAAACAACAACAACAACAACATGAAATTACTGTGTTTGAAATATTTTCTTATGGTTTGTAATATTTCTGTAAATTTATTGTGATATTTTAAGGTTCCCCCCCCCTTTATTTTCCGTAGTTGTATTTTAAAGATTCGGCTCTGTATTATTTGAATCAGTCTGCCGAGAATCCATGTATATATTTGAACTAATACCATCCTTATAACAGGTACATTTTCAACTTAAGTTTTTACTCCATTATGCACAGTTTGAGATAAATAAATTTTTGAAATATGGACACTGAAATTATGTTTGAGTCTTTCATTTATTTGGATAACACTGATTATACATAACTCCTCGGGGTATATACTGTGCTCAGCCAGGAAAGCAAAATATCTAAAACCTTGATATTCTAGTCCAGTAGCATGTGCTAATGTTAACTGCAACAAATAAATGTCTGAATGATTAACTGAATAAGTACTCTCAAAAAATTGAAATGCTTGTGTCATTTCTAAAATAGAAACTAGAGACATATATTGTAAATCCACCCCCTCCTTTTCTAAGCAGCATGAATAAGCATGATGGGGACTTATACTTAAAACTGATTTATGCCACTTGTTGCCAGAAAGAAGGAGTCAATTCTGAAAATTTTCATGTGGCTCAGCAGATGGGGTATTGAGCCAAATCAGAACCAGGTTGGCTGGTTTTGTTTTCGTTTTCTTCAATGCACAATGGCCCTTTGGAAACCTGGTTATAAGGGAAAATGATGCTTCTTGTATCGGAATAATTACAAACTAGACATGCAAAGTGCTCATCTGCTGGGTGGGTGTTTGGATTACTTCAGCCCTGCTATTGTTTGAGAGGAAACAAGTGGTTTGCTTTCTTTGTTCCTTGACTTCATAAACTTTCTCCTCTACATTCTCCTGTTTAGGGGAGAGGGAAAGCAAAGAGCATCTTACAACCCCCCCCCCGACTTATCACGGCTATTTATTATTATTATTATTTATTTTCTTTTTTCCTCTCTCTCCCTCCACGAATTCCATTTCTTAAATTGGCAGCGCGGGTCCAAGCCTGTAGTCCCAAATCGGATATCTCTGCAGCTGATAACAAGCAAAAGAGAAGCCAGGCAACAGCCATATTAAAGAAGAAAACAATCAACTCTGAGGTAGATATTTTACTTTGTCCGGGCTAATCACAGTTGGAGATGATTATGCTTTTGATCTGTTAACCATGTTTTACTACGGTAGTAGAGAAGTAGGGGGAGGGGAAAGGGGTGGGGAAACAAGATTGGATTTGTTGTTTTCTTTTGCCCTAGGAAAGGTAAAGAAAGACTCTAGTTGTCCACAGTGGGAGCGAAAAAGTTGGGGGGATCGCCACGGTCTTTGAATTAACGATGTTTCTACATCACAACCGACCCGCGCTTTGGCGCAGCCGGAGAATCTGTAAGACCGACTCAGAGACTTTTCTTCCTTATTTACTGCTTACCTCGCTCATCTTCCCCCACCACAAGGGACCAGGAAACAGGAGTCAGGCATACTTAAGAGCGTGGGTTTGCTACCCACATTTCAAGGGCTTGTTGTGTCAACTTGCTACAACTTTGGAGAAGTTGGAATCCGGCAGCGCCTTCCACCCTTGAGTAAAATACCGGCTGCAGCCACTAAGTTAGCTCAACCCGTTGGTGTGCACTTTCGCCTTTTCCAAGAAAGTATTCCTTTCTCGTGGTGTTGCTAATATCAGTTCTGGGCTCAGCTGGAAATATCCTCATACTTTCTGTATTTTTATTTCATATGGATTGCTTTATTTTAGGCGTGTATTGGTTTTTATTTATTTCTTTTCTTAAAATCCTCATTTTAGGGTAAAGGACAATTATTATGCCAGTTCCCAATTCTAAGCGAGGCATTTCCCCCCCTAATTAATGCAGAGACTCTAAAAGAATTTCCCCCGGCCTGGCCAGCCATTGTAATGCATATACGGATTATTCACGTGGTAATGAGCACATTCGCCAGTTCTTGCTCACACATACGAATAAAAGAAACTTTGAATAAAGATCCAAATGATCTTGCTGGGGGGTGGGGAGGATATTCTCGGAATTTGAGCCAATCAACTATATGGTGTGTATATATTTGAAAAATTAGAGATATATTAGAAATATGTATTGCATTCAGAGTAATTGCACTGCACCAGGCTCTCTTAAAAAAAAAAAAAAATATATATATATATATATATATATATATATATATATTAAAGTAAATAAATAAATAAAAGAACCCACAGGATCAGATTAAAAAAAGCAACAACTTTTTGGCCAAATGCTCAGGTTCAAATATTTTGCAAGAGGGAAGAGAGCAATTTCAGGAAGTTGAACTAGTTTTGAGTGATTGTCACTTTCTGCCTAAAACAAGAGAACTCCCATTTTCCCTCCTATTCCTCCATATCCCCTAACTGAAAGCCAAATTATTTTGTTCTTAAATACATTCTTTTTATAAACTGCATTTGAGGAAAGTGGTATATATTTCATCATTTATTTGATTGGATTAAATGATTCCCCAAGATGTGTAGTTTCATGACTAGATTAATAGTGAACATACAGTATTTTAATTATAATGTGATTTCCAAGAAGGGGATAAACCCATAAACTTTCCCAGAGATGGTTATCTCTCAGTGCTGAAGTTAGTTGTTGAATGTTCAGTTTCTTCCTTGGGATATTATTCTATTCACTAAAACCATTCAATTTCCAGTCAAAGGGGGTGAATTTAATGTTTTGTTAAACTTATACATGGAATGGAAATGTGTAGAGGGATGAGATTATAGTTTGTTCCCTCTGCAATTTTTTTTCTCTCCGCGTGCTCCCCGCCCCCACTTTAAATAAAGAGCGTTAAAATATTTTGCTGAGCTGTAGTAGATTAGCAAGGTTTCTTGCCAATGCTGGGAAGCTGGTATTACAGACGGTCCCAGGGGAAAATGGCTCACATTAACCACTAAATGAATATTTGACAAGGGCTCATTCGGAGGTATTATTACTATAAACGTGTCCCTACTGGACTTTTCCAGGGTCAAAGAGCAACGCTTCAATTAATTATTTAGTCTGCTAGTAGATTTGGTTGTAATAGCTGTACTTATTTCTAGAACCGACACATTCTTAGAGTAGGAAATCTCAGGAGAATCTTCTCCATCAGCCATGCCTTGGATTGAAATACACACAGAGCCCTGGCATTCTGAAGCTGACTTTTTCATAAAACCTTTTCCTGGGCTGAGAGTTGGGGGGGGGGGGGATTATAGTTTCTTTTTCTATTTCATTTGCTGGTTTTGATTTAAAAGAAGGAAACAAGAACATAGTAAGTTATCTTAGATTCTACATCACGTCTGGCAAGGTCTTTTAGGGCCTTGCAGTTTAGGGAGAGAGGGGAGGGAAATTATTTATAACCTTTGCCTTTTCTAAGTGGAGATGTCACAGGATTTCAGAGACTCAGGCAGGTTCTGAATTTAGAAAGGGCACACACTGCTGTTTGCCAATAAAATTCGGGTTTTAAAATGGAAGTCTCCATAGGCTGAGTACGCGGAGTTCTAGTACACTCAGTAAATTGGGGTAAGAGATAGTCCCTCCTTCCCTCCCCACCTATTGGCTTGAACACCTCCAGGTGTAGTGGGGTGAGGGGGGACCTGGTGAGTGTTCCATTTCTGCTCTGTCATAAGTTCCTCCGTGGCCCTGGGTAAAATGGTAAGGGAATGATTTTGAGAGTAAGATTCCTTGACAATAATATAAGGTGAATGAATAAGAGATAAGCTGCAAGGGGTGGGGGAACGGGATGCAGTAATTACAAACCCAATTCATTCAGCTTTTCAGAACTTTTGTTGTGGGAGCTCCATTGACGGGTTTTGAGTCGCCAGTTTTCTCACATTAAAAAGAACTGATCAGCGCCTCAGGGGGACAAGAAATACCGCTTAACTGCATAGTGATTGGGTCTTCATTTAGAACCCTTACAAGAAGAAAATTAAACAGTGCCTTTGTGTGCACAGGTTTACTTTTCAACTGCTAACAGTTTATAGCTAACTGCTTTGGGATTGAAGTTTGACTGTGGTTTGGTCGTCTGCTAGTTGGCACTGCTTATTTATTTATTTATTGTAATGAAAGAGTTTTTTATATCCTCTTCCCTTTATTTCTGGTTCTTGGAGAATTTTGTAAAACAGGTCCTCATATTTTGATTCATGGAAAGAGTTTCCTTTGCCATGAGCTTTAGCAGAGACTTGAATTAACACTTCTCCAACACTTTCCACACACACACACACACACACACACACACCCCATTATTGCCTTAAAATAATTTGCATCTCACTCCGTTTTTTATGCTGCCTTTTCCTGCTTTCAGAGTAAAGACTGCCTTGGACAGCCACAAGTGAGATTGAGGATGAGGGTTGATTTATTTCTTTCCTTTGCTTTTTTTTTTTGACTGAAGTTGGAAGATGGTTGGTGTATTTCTTTAGGGACCTCGTCTATGAGGTAGATCCCATAAAGCCAGAAGAAGGGGGAGAAACACTTGAACTTTACTGTGAAAGTGTGCATAAAATTCAAAGGGACACAGCCTCTGGAGTTTTAGAGTAAGCAGCTGTGGAAGGAGCTTTCCAAAGACAGAGAAATTGCCCAAACCAGAGAATTAGTTTGGTGTCTTTCATAGTTATTTTCTATTAAAAACTTCCTGGGAAAACCTGCCTCTGATATCACCCAGGGAGACTTGTAACCACTCTTCCTTCTTATAATGCTGTCCAATTTTACAATTCTTGTTTTCAGTGGTTCTGTTTTGCTTCTGTAGCTTTTAGGAAATAATGGACTTGACTTTCTTTTTTTAACCTATGAGACATCTCTGGGAGAATGGATTACTAAGACAAGGCCAAGATTTCCCATGGCAGAGAACTCTTTCTGCATGCAGGTCTAGATGGATTTTATTTTATATTTTGGTGTAATAGTGATATTTCTGTTTCCTTGAGTGGTGTATTCAGTTTCTCTTCAAAAGCAAATAGAACGTCCTCTCATTTCAGGACGCAAAGATATTTGCTGCTTCTGGGCTTTTGGACTTGAGATGCTTGCTCTACTTTGCAAAGAAGTGTCAGGTGATTTAGAACCTTCAAGGAGTCGTTCATTTCATTACCCTCGTCTATCTGCACTCACAGAAAGAAGTGTGCGCTGTTAGTAAAGATTTCGGCGCTTTGAACTATCTTCTGCCTTCCTCTCTGGGCTTCGGTGCGGGGCGCGGCGCAGGGCCGGGAGCGCTCGGGCCTCCCACCCGCCTGCCCTGGGGAGCCCGCCGCAG